CTTCCCGTTTGTTTGGATTATAGGGCCGCACTTTTTACGTGGAAAAGATCAATAGCCCCTAACAAACATGTTAAAGTTAGAGACATGCAAGGGAGGGGTGGGGGGGGGGGGGGAATAACACGACAACATACTCAAAATATAAAATTGAAGTCCATCCCTGTGCCCAATATGCCCAAAGGCGGGGACAGGTGTCCTTCACTTTACTTTTATATTACAAATATTGTGTGTAAAATATTCTTTAAAAATGTTATTTGTTATATCTTAAGAATAAAAATAAACTTTACGTAAAAAGCATTCTCAAATGACAAGAGCTGAACACATAAAACTGCAAACAGCGCCATGATTCTTAGAAGTATTAAAGGAACGACTAGCCGAAAGGTTAGAGCGCCGGCCTCTCGTGTGAATGAGCCTGGTTCAGCCCCATACCCCAACCCCAATAATTTGAACGGTGGCTAAGGTTCCCGCTTTTATCCAACCACGCAAATGATCTTTTAAAGTACTTTGTTTATACTGTTTATATTACTAATGTTTGTGAGTCGTCGTGGCGTTGGCGGCTAGACGCCCGCCTGCGGATCGGAAGGTCGTGGGTTCGCGTCCTGTCGGAGCCCGGCTTTTAAAAAAAATGACCGTGACTCCCAGGTCGACCTAGCCTTGAGTGGGTATGAGATGCAGTCCTGGGAAGTAAACGCGGCCGGCGTGGTGCTGACCGCGTCACTCACCAAGTGCCGATTGGTCTATACAAATATAGGTCGTCCCAACCACTGTCCCCACCACTGTCCCCACCACTGTCCCAACCACTGTCCCCACCACTGTCCCAACCACTGTCCCCACCACTGTCCCAACCACTGTCCCAACCACTGTCCCCACCACTGTCCCCACCACTGTCCCCACCACTGTCCCCACCACTGTCCCAACCACTGTCCCCACCACTGTCCCCACCACTGTCCCCACCACTGTCCCAACCACTGTCCCCACCACTGTCCCCACCACTGTCCCCACCACTGTCCCCACCACTGTCCCAACCACTGTCCCCACCACTGTCCCAACCACTGTCCCAACCACTGTCCCCACCACTGTCCCCACCACTGTCCCAACCACTGTCCCCACCACTGTCCCAACCACTGTCCCCACCACTGTCCCAACCACTGTCCCAACCACTGTCCCCACCACTGTCCCAACCACTGTCCCCACCACTGTCCCCACCACTGTCCCAACCACTGTCCCAACCACTGTCCCAACCACTGTCCCCACCACTGTCCCCACCACTGTATAAATTCACCCCTATGCCGATGTGTGGTTTTTTTAGACGAATGTTAAGAATCCCTCGGCCTTTCAGAGTTACTAACGGGGACTGCTTAAAGGAAGCTAATGGAAGCAGATCAATATATACAGCTATAAAAGTCAGTCACCAACAATACACGAATAAACAGCTAGTCCCGCAACAATCCAGAAATGTGTGCACGCAGTAAATGCGTATTTCAGTTGCTAGAGGTGCCAAAGCCAACAATCGCCACTAGAAATGCAGTTTGTTGTTGATGGAAGTAGTCGGACACAATAAGTGTAATCACGTGGATATCCTAGATAGAATCCAGTCATGTAGCTTCGGCCATCTCATCAAAGTATGTTTTACTGGGGTTTCCCCCAGGAGTGGTGGACCGGGGGTGGGAGGGGGGGGGGGGGGGGTAATGTGGGTGCATCATCGCTTCCTCAATCCTTTCATTTCCCATTGCACTACCTGTCTGGTGATTCTCCAGAAGGTGCTGACAACAGGGGTGATTGCAGTCAAGCGAATACCGAGATATTAATCCAGTAAACTGTTATTGCATAGCAATAAAAGTAGGGGAGGGGAACAAGTAGAAACAGATTGACGTTTCGGCCTGAGCCTCTATCGACATGAACTACACAGTAACAACTAAAGAGAAGTACTCCAACCTCTGCTCATTTCCTTTCAACTTTTGTTATATTTTCTCTTTTTTTTCTCCATTAAAACTGCAAAACCTGCCACTACTGCCTGTTTTTACCTCTTTTCCCGTGTACGCGGGGTTATGATTTTAATTTTGCTCCCAGCAGAAAGAAATACCCAACCTTATTAAGGATTCGAACCCGGGTCTCCAGCTTAAAAGTCCAGCGTTCTAACTATTCGGCCAGCCGCTGCCCTTTTCTCTCTTTTATTGTGAGCCCCAAAAAAATTTCTAAGAAGTTACTTCTCAATGAGGAATTGAACAGCTGACCACTTTGTGGAGAAGCAATGATGCTACCCACAGCGCTTTATTAACGCCCCTATCGTAGCATTAATTGACCCTAATGAAGACGACCTACCAGAAAAGTCAAGAGACCCGAGTCAAGACTACCTGATGCTCACCTATCGCTTAACCAGCGACCAGCCCCAGGTAAGACACTTCCACCCATTAAAACTAAACATAAAACCAGAGTCCAGAAAGCCAGAGAAACAACACAGCGCTGTAGTCTGGAATTGTGTTCCATGGCTTTTATCTAGCCAGTCCCCACTTCCAGGGGAAACAATAGGAGCCATATGGTGGACCATATCTCCCCCTCGTTGTAATTGCCAAGAAAGCTACCGTGAAGGAAGGCCCTAACTGTCACGTGTCGGCATTCCTACGGCCTGAAACAGTGATAAGAAAGACCCCAGCATTGTGTTTTTGAAACATACAATGTAGGACATTCCTTATGTATCATTGTTTTAGAAAGCCGATGGAATCTGTTTTAAAAACGGGATGAAGTCTCCAACAAAGTCGCAAACTAACATTGCTATGAGTCGCGACAGATGCCTCAGACCAAACATTTGTTCTGTGTATGCAACCGTTTTGTGTTGTTGCTTTGTGCTAGTTTTGGTATTTGTTTGGCTCCTTCATTTAGATAGGGCGATCCTCAAACTTTATAAAAGTTTTTTTTATTGTTTTGAAGCCCCATCCTGGTTGTCGTCGAGTGGGGGGGGGGGGGGGGGGGGGACACAAATATAACCCAACCTATAGGTTGAGCAGGATTTATGGGACTTGTCCCCGAGTGATCCTCATCTGAATGGTGGCACTTTTGGTCGCCTAATGTTTATCTGTGTGGGGCTGAACGTCATCATCATCCGCATCGCATAGCTGGATTGCATGTTGCTTCGCTAACTTATTATCAGCAATCGTCGTCTTCTTCTTTGTTCACCGGTTGTAAGCTCCGGCGGAAAGTCCTGGTTGTTCGTCCATTTAGACGTTGGCTTTGTGCCAGGGCTTGAGTTTTGCGTGTACATCCGTTTTACTGACTTATTTGTCTGCAGTTGGTTGTTCCTTGCCGCTCGGGCAGATGCACTCCGACTTGGAATGAAGTCCCCAGTTAGTCGACTCCGCGACATGCTTGCTGGGAAGGCAGTGGGTCTATTCTTGTTTTCCCCACAATAAGGGACACCATAATCCACACGGGAATTCATCTGTAACTATATAGACCAGGAAGTAAAAGTGAAGGAAACGTTTCCAAGCCTTTAGGCACACAGGTCAAATAGATCAAGACCTATATTTTATAGACCAATCAGCACAAGATAGGTGATTTGGTCAGCATCACACTGGCCGCCTTTACTTCCCAGGACTGCACCCGGTATCCATTCAAGGCTGGGTCGACCTGGGAGCCAAGGTCATTTTTGAAAAAAAAAATGAGTCCGGCTTCGCCATGGAGCGAACCCACGACCTTCCGATCCGCGGCGAGCGTCTAGGCGCCCTGCCACGACGACTCCTTCTTATAGCCCAGTGTTTTATAAATATATTTCCCTACCGCCACCTTTTCAACTAAAAAATGCCCTACCGCCCCCGCCCCTTTCCCTATTTATTTAAAAAAAAATCATAGTGAATGTTATGGGCTGTGCCGATAATTACAGGTGACACTTGCGCTATCCTGCACGATCAGCAGTTACGCGGATCAGGTCAGAGTTCTTGTACCGTCCTATGACTATGTCCAAACAATCATGGTATGTCTCTCTCCGGCCCCCTTTTGTTCCTTAAATTAGCTGTTTGTCAAACAGAAGGATGCAGTGACAAACTTACGGACAACATTTAGTAATGTAAATCAAGAATAGACTAGGTGCTTTGATCTTATCCAAGAATACATATTTGAGTAAGAACATGTAGGTTCTTGAGCCCAGTGTATGGGACAAAGAACTTACCTACTGCTCCGTAACAAGCATGTCGTAGGGGACGACTAATTAGGGGTGTTGCTTTCGACGGTGGGAGTGCATCTTCCCTGAGAGGCAAGGAATCAACAGTCTGCATCCCTGTGTGGGTTACGGCTCCCTATTATAGGGAAAACAAGACCCACTACCTCCCCAAAAGCATGTCGTAAGAGTCGACTAATTCGGAGCTTCCTTCAAAGATCTGCCTGTGAGGCGAGAAACCAGCAGTCTGCATACAAATGAGTCAGATCTGTAAAACGGATGCACACGTAACACTCAGGTTTTAGAAAAGGACTGCAGTCCAGAAGTAGATAACAACCAGAACTTTCAGCCAGAGTTTACAGCTGGTGACCGCGAAGAAGAAGAAGGAAAACAAGAACAGTCTGCCCAGAATTATGCCAGATCTGAATAATAGATACACGCAAGAAAAAAAAAAATTAGGTCCTATTACAAAGACAAAGGGCAGAAATGGACAAACAGACAGGACTTTCTGCTCCAGATTACACCACACAAACACTTCCTGAAAGTTTCTCATATATGACCTTGCTTAAAATTGTATTATGTTTTTGAAGTATTTAAGAACATTTAATATTATTAAAAATATCTTTCACCAGGTTTGCATATTCTGGACTTTTAAACATCCAAAATGGTGGATGTATCAACGGGCATGCATCATCTGCATCCGGTTCCTCTAGTCAGACAACTTCCGTTTCCGTTTTCTCTGAACATCACTGCAGCATCATCAGAAGACTGGTCGAAGGTATTCGTTGTGCATCCATCACCATCGGCCCAGATTGTGGGAATCTACAATCAACAACCACAACTTCTAGCACAGCATCAATTCTATTACCATCATAATCAAAGTTACATCCATCAACACTATCACCAACCAAGTGTTGTGAATTCTAACAAATATTATCATCACAATTCTCAAAATCAGTATACAAATGGAGTTTTCCCTCAGATAATGGACAGCACTAAGAAATCACAAATCGTCAATGTCTCATTGCCAGTTGTACTGTCAAAAAACACGAATAAGCCAAACAGGCAATACCGTGACTGCGACACAGCGTCAGATGCCAGTAACACGTACAAACTTGTAACCACTTTGCCAGTAATGGCTACAGAAAGAAAGATCGACTGCAGGCCGGGCGATGATGTGCTGGGCGTTGCAAGAAACTCCCATTCCAGACTGAAGAATATTGTAACAAAAGAAGAATGCAAGCACGAGATGTTACAGCGTGAGTACAAAAACATGATAGTTCTCTATGCCCCTCCCCCTCCCTCTATCTCCTTCTCTCTCTCTCTCTCTCTCTCTCTCTCTCTCTCTCTCTCTCTCTCTCTCTCTCTCTCTCTCTCTCTCTCTCTCTCTCTCACCCTTCTCTGTCTCACTCTGACTTTCTCTTGCTTTTCAACTTTCCGTTTGGATTCCAGAGCTTTTGTGGGGTGGGGTGGGGGCGGGGTTTGAAATAGACCAATCACCCCTTAACATACATATCGGAGAAGTCGACTAGCTAGGGGTGTTTCCTTCGAAATCGGAGTACATATGCATGAATGACGAGGAACAAACAGTCTGCACATTAAACCAGATCTATAAAACTCATGTTCACCTACAAGTCAAGTTCTAGAACACAGTTAAAGCCCAGAAGTGGACGAACAACCATAATTCCACCCCCCCCCCCCAACAATTTACTGCTGGTGAACGCAAAGAAGAAGAAGAAGTTCTTACAGTCTTTTTTGTGTCTAATTATCCCAGTAATCTCTGTTTCCTATTAATGCTTTTATTGTGATCGCGTCGTGTCTAATGTCGCTTTCTTTTCTTTCTTTCTTTCTTTCTCTCTTTCTTTCTTTCTTTCTTTCTTTCTTTCTTTCTTTCTTTCTTTCTTTCTTTCTTTCTTTCTTTCTTTCTTTCTTTCTTTCTTTAGGTTCTTTCTTTATTTTACAATTAATTCTTAAGGACAAATTCTTTTCTTGGAAATTTCGTTTCTTTCTTTTCTTTCTTTCTTTCTTTCTTTTCTTGCTTTTCTTTCTTTTCTTTCTTTCTTTCCTTTCTTTCTTTCTTTCTTTTCTTTCTTCTTTCTTTCTTTCTTTCTTTCTTCTTTCTTTCTTTCTTTTCTTTCTTTCGTTCTTAGGCGATTTCGTCCTTTCTTTCTCTTTATTTCTTTTCTTACTTTCTTTCTTTCTTCTTCTTTTCTTTCTTTCTTTCTTTCTTTCTGTCTTTCTTTCTTTCTTTCTTTCTTTCTTTCTTTATTTCTTTCTTTCTTTCTTCTTTCTTTCTTTCTTTCTTCTTCTTTCTTTCTTTCTTTATTCTTTCTTTATTTATTTCTTTCTTTCTTCCTTCTTTTTTTTTCTTTTGTTCTTTCTTTCTTTTTTTCTTTCTTTTTCTTTCTTTCTTCTTTCTTTCTTCTTTTTTTCTTTCTTTCTTTCTTTCTTTCTTTCTTTCTTTCTTTCTTTCTTTCTTTCTTTCTTTCTTTCTTTAATTCTTAGTTACAATTCTTTTCTTCTTAATTTCGTTTCCTTTCTTTCTTTCTTTCTTTCTTTCTTTCTTTCTTTCTTTCTTTCTTTCTTTCTTTCTTTCTTTCTTTCTTTCTTTCTTTCTTTCTTTCTTTCTTTCTTTCTTTCTTTCTTTCTTTCCTTCCTTCTTTCTTTCTTTATTTCTTTCTTTAATTCTTAATTACGATTTTTTTTCTTACTTTTGTTTCCTTTTCTGTCTTTATTAATAAAAACTTCTACTTCTTCTTCTTCTCTTCCACCTTGTACCTCATCGAAGTGTCGGGGGGGAGATGTAATGTTCGTTGATGAGCTCTGTCAAGAGCACTATTAAGACTGATGTTCATTTCTGTAAGACTGTTCTTAATGCCATCACTCCATATTTTCCAAGGTCTTCCACTCGCTCTATACCCGTTGTGACGTTTTAGTGTGGCTCGCTGTGGCAGATAGTACCAGGGCATTCTTGTTAGGTGTCCAAACCATTTCATTTGTTGTTCTTTGATGACCTGTAAGACTGGCTTTATTCCTAGCATTCGTCTGATTTCATGATTTTGTATTCTGTCTTTCCTTGAAACTCCTGCAGCTCTTCTAAGGCATTTCATCTCTGTTGTCACAATTTTACGTTCATTGGAGGATGTAAGTGTCCACGTTTGGCACTGATTGCATAGTATTGGCCAAAAAAATAGTTCTGATAAGATTCACTTTAGTACTCTGAGGTATCTGCTTGTGTGTCAACAGGGGAGATAGTTGACACATTACTTGATTAGCTTTGGCACATCTGGAGCTAATTTCTCTGTCCAGTTTTCCGTCTGAAGTAAAAATTGCTCCCAAATACTTAAATTCCTCTGTTTGTCTCAGGGTGTTGTTTTTTAATTTAATTTCTAAATTGTCTTTATGTCTTCCTATCATCATTGTCTCTGTCTTCGTAGTGTTTATTTTCATATTATATTCCTCCCCTTTGTTACTAATTTGATTTAGGTGGTTCTGTAGGCATTCCATATTTTCTGCTATGAGTACCTGGTCGTCGGCGAAAAGTAATTCTGTTATATCTTCTCCCTGATTAAAGTCTGTTTCGCTACATATGGCGTCCATGTTTGTTATGAAAAGAAGCGGCGATAGTACACAGCCCTGACACACACCAGAGTTCACTATAAAAGTTCTAGACAACCCTGCCTTTGATCTTATGCAGCATTCACTACGTGTGTACAGGCTTTTGCAAATATTAATGAGATGATTGCTGATTCCTTTTTTCCCCATACATTCCCACAACATATTCCTGTCGACTCTATCGAAGGCTTTTTCTTGGTCTATGAATGTCAACATACATGTCTTATCATGTTCTATTGCCCTCTCTGATAGTTGTCTCAATGTATAAATGGCATCTGTGCAACTTCTGTTTCGTCGAAAGCCCATCTGTGCTTCTGAAAGTTGATACTCTATCAATGGTCTCAGCCCTTTTTTGATGATCTTAGCATACATTTTCCCAGTGTGACTGAGAAGTGATATTCCTCTGTAATTAGTACATTCCCTCTTACTTCCTTTATTTTTCCACAGCGGGACAATGACAGCAGTTTGCCAATCTGATGGTGTTTCTTGATTTTCCCATGCCACCTGAAATATTCTCTTTAACCATATTGCTCCCGTTTCTCCTGCTGCCTTGATGGCCTCAGCTGGTAGATCATCAATACCTGTCGCCTTTAGTCTAGGCGCGGTTCGAATGACATATTTTACCTCATCCAATAATATACCTGGTTCTAGTTCCTCTGCTGTTAGTTCCGAGTTGTTTTTATGTTCTTCCCTGCTTTTATCTGTTTTATTGCAGCTAAGTAATGCTTCAAAGTAATTACCCCACCTTGCTAAGATTTTAGTAGGTTCTATTAAAGGTTGGCCAACTTCATCATTTATAATTTATGTTTCTCATTCATGCCTTTTATTTTTTTTGTAGTAGTTTTTCACTGCTGATCTTTCTTCTTCAGCCAGCTTGCTTCCAAACTTTTCCCATGAATCTCTTTTTGCTTTTCTGATAGTTCTATTTACTTCTCTTCTAATTTTCCTGTATGTTATGTAATCCTCTTCTGTTCTGCTCCTCAACCAAATGCCATAAGCTTTCTTTTTACTGCTCACAATACTTCTTATTTCTTCAGACCACCATGTTGAGAGCTTACGCCCTATGTTACCTTTCCATTTAGTTCCACATATTTCTTGTGCTATTTTCATAGTGGTGTCTCTGAAATTCAACCATTCTGTATTTACCCCAAGAGTGTTTTGTGGAAGCTGTTCATAATTTTCCTGTAATTTTTGCTGAAACGCTCGCCTGTTTTCTTCACACTCTAGTTCTTTCCATTTTATTATGTCACTTTTATTACATTTCTTTTTGGTTTGATAACTTATTTTGATTTTTCTGTCAAAGATCACCATCCTATGATCTGTATCTAAACTCAAGTTTGGTATAACTCTCGCATCTGTAACTTGATGAAAGTCTCTTTTTCTCGTCAAGATGTAATCAATCTGACTCTTGGTATCTGGATCAGTCCATTTATAATTAATAAAAACAAACAACGTAATTTATGCCTCTCCTCCTTTCGCACCTTTGTCGGGTACTAAATCAGGACCACTGTCCTTCCAGGTAAAGAACCAAACCACTAGGCCACTACGGATTGACGTAATTGCACATTAACCATCCCCACGCGTGCTCAGTCTCGACTCACTGACTCACTGACTCTGCCCATAGGAAATTACTCATGTCCTGCCCCTGGATTCGAATGCAAAGCAATCGTGCCTTGTCAGGTTTTACTCTCAGGTCATGTAATCTGTTTAGCGCCATAAACTTGTTATTTTAAGCAGGGTCGTATACAATGGTACGTTCTTAGTCCTTTTCAGACGCTTTAACGTTTACCAAAAAGGGAGTATACCAAGCGCATTTTCCAAAAAGAAATTATATTTATGTTTATTCGACTGATCAACATGATGGCACACGGGTAGAAACCCATAAGTGCTCCGTTTTACTTCTAACTCAAGTCTGAATCAGAAAAATGTGCATCGACTGCCGTCTCTAAAATGAAAGTTAGTGACAGTACACCCACTGCCGTCTTTGTGAAGTGCCACATTCGCCCCAGTGTCCGAATGCAATTGGAACAGGTTGTCAGGGACTCTAATCCATTGAGGTTCATGACACTGTGAAACGCAGATTTTGCTCATACATTTTTTATTAATTAATTACAAAAACGCTTTAAATGAAAACTTTAGAAGTATGATATCAATTAAAATAAATAAACTCTGCTCCTCATTGGTGCATGTGAAAAGTGGGGCAGCAATGTTTAAACAGTCATTATGACATCACCGTGTGAGTCTGCGTTGTGCTTAACATTCTTGACATCATTAACAACAACATTGACAAGTTACAATGGTATGGTTATTCTAATTCCTGTCACAAATTTAAGGTTGTCATTTGAACTTCCTTTATAGCTAAGTAAATCCATGCACAAAGTTCATTTTAGCATCGCCAACTCTTCAGGTGATGGTTCAGTTACAGACAGACACATGGAACAAAAGACTAAGCCTCGGTTCGACTTCGCCAACCTGCCCAGGTGTGTCAGTCAAGAGAACGAAGCCAGATGTAAACAGACAGAAGAGACAACTGTCCGAGTGGTCAGTCATGGACTTCCAGCCGTGCATTCTCTCAGGTAAGAGATTTAAATATGTATATTTCTTGTGATCTATTTGGGAGCGGCAGCGTCCGTGGCTTAGGCGTTGCGAGTCCGACTCGTAATTCCAACGTACCAGCGATCGAAACCCACTGCTGGTTGCGTGGATTTTTATCATGGTATAGGGCGTGGCTGGTCGACCCAGCCTAAAATGGGTACCAGGATGTATGTCCTGGGAAAGTAAAGAAGGCCGGCGTAATGCTGACCACATTACCCACCTAGTGCCGATTGGTCTGTAAAAATATGGGATGCTCTTCCCATATGCCCGATGCTGTCACCCAGTGACTAGATGGTCACCAGTCACAAACGCAAGATGCGATCGCACAAAGGCCAAAACAACTTAAACCGTGAAAGGATCAGGCTCAAACATATAAGAATTCTATATTAACGATTTTTCGCTGAACAGACTACAAACCCTGGGTGTACCAGCTGGAGCTGCTAGGCAGGTAAAAAAAAAATTCGGGAGCCACCTGTCATCCCATAAGCCAGAAAAGAATGGGAGCCTAAAAACACTGACCAACATACTTAGGATCGGCTCGGAGGACTGCAGTCGTGTTCCAGAACCTGAGTGTTGCGTGTGCATCAGTTTTACAGATCTGACTCAAGTGTATGCAGACTGCTGGTTTCGTGCCTTTCAGTCAGATGCAATCCGACTTCTAAGGAATCTCCCAATTAGTCGACTCTTACGACATGCTTTTGGGTAGGCAGTGGGTCTATTCTTGTTTTCCCCACGATGGGGCCCCGGAACCCACACGGGGAAGTAAAAGAAAAAAGAAACAATGTGTTTGCTAAATAACAGAAATCACGGGACTATCTCAAAGGAGAATAGCATTTGAACAAAAATGTGTTGAGGCCAGAACCGATTGCTGTTGCTTCAAGCTCCAGGTTAGGTAGCGTGTGCCGACATCCTGCACTGTTGCTATCTATACGCAGATTATACATAAACACATAACGGACGCATGCGCTCGCGTAGACACACAGGTTCAACAGACCGAAGCACATTCACGTGGACACAAAAATATATGTTTGTGTATGTGTGTTGTTTTCACAAGAAGCAAATTGACCAAGACACAGTTATGTGTGTGTATGTGTGTTGTTTTCACAAGAAGCACTGGGCACAGATATGTGTATGTGTATTGTTTTCACAATCGACGTCACTGCACATTTAGACATTCCCATGTGTGCTCAGTCCTCCGATGCAGTAGCCATTCTAAGGTAATTCTATTACTTGTTCCCAGGAGAGGTTGGTTGTCTTCTATCTCGGCTTTGATGGCGAAAAGACGTGCCTCGCCATGCTTTACCCGCATGTCACGCAATTGTGTTAGTGAAAAGATCAGTGTACCGAAAAGATCATTGTACCGAAAAGATCAGTGTACCGAAAAGATCAGTGTACCGAAAAGATCAGTGTACCGAAAAGATCAGTGTACCGAAAAGATCAGTGTACCGAAAGGATCAATGTACCGAAAAGATCAGTGTACCGAAAAGAAAAATGGACCAGCCAATATCTAAACTTTTACAGTTTCGTACTTATTCAGTACAAACGTGGCGTAGTGAGAAGCTTGTTCAACCGGGCCAGAAAGATTTGCACCGAAGACACATTGGTTACAGAAAGTAAAACTCTCAATTCAATTTAAATACTGAATAGGTACCCCATAGGTTTCATCAAACGTCATTGCACCCCACCCAACCCTACCCCGAACGAAATTACAGTATCCAAACTACGAGTATATATCCAACTTACTTATCGAGGTGATGACGTCATGCAGCGTCTTCAGGACCGACTGAAAACAGCAGTTGGCCAAACATTCTTTGCGGCTGTTCCAGTAGTGAGGTACAAGACCACTCCTATCCCAACCCCGACTATCAAACAGCTACTTTCTCCGTACACCAAATCTAATTGTATTTACCAATTTACATGTAAGTGCCAGTTGACTTTCATCGGTCGAACGGAGAGACAGCTTGGACATTGAGGGGCAGAGCACATACCCAAATGGCTACAGACACAACTGAGTGATTCTTCTAAGGTGTCGAGACCAGTCAAGAGGAAAGAACCCACTACTTCCAAAGAACGTCATCTACTTAATTCCGGACACATAATTGACACAGACACTGCTTTCCCCCTGGTTCACCACACTCCGAACAGGAGACTTTTGAGAATCGCCCAAGCCTTAACAATAAAAATCAACAACGCCCTCTTTTGTAAGCAGACGGAATTTATTGTAAATTTCAAGTTACCCTGGTAAGTCACGTGACTACGGTAAGTTTCCGGCGGACATGAAACAGAGACAATGTTTTGAAGAAACTATTCACATTTCAGTTTAATTTATTCAGTTTTGCGCTTTATTTTATTTTGATGTAACTCTGTAGTAACGCACCTGATGAGATACAGCGAAATACGCCTGGCAATAAATTGTGCAATGTATTGTTTGTATCCGCATTATTTATATTATTTTGTTGCTTTTTTTGTTGTTTCACCAGGCAAGGACAATTGGTTTCTATAGACGCTGTATCCTCGAATGCAGAAACAAAAACACTTTTGTCACAGCCAAGGTAGGACATTCGTTATCTCCCTTCCCATCCTCAATGTCTATATTGACCAAATGTACAGTTTTCAAAGCGGCGGTAGAGCTTTCTTCAAATTTCTCGCCAGTCGGACAGTTTTAATTGAAATGCCAAATTAGCGACCTTTAAAGAAAACAAATGTCTACCAATGCCAGACATGGTCACTCACAACAAACCATAAAAGAAAATTAGTAACCACGGAAATGAGATGTCTGAGAAGGGCTTTAGGAGTGACCATAAGATATAAGATCAGGAATGAGATCATAACAGAACAAGTCGGCACAGAACCAATTCTGGATTACATACAATGACAGCAAGTGAAATGGTTTGCCCACTTAGAGAGAATGCCTTGTGACACCATACCATACAAAGCATACATAAAAAGAGAGAAGGACGTAGAGCACGGGGTAGACCAAGAACAAGATGGAAGGATAACATCAGAGAAACTCTACAACAGCACGATGTGCCTATGGTCGAGGCAGCCAGAAGAGCTAGAAACAGAACCTTAAATCTCCCTCGACACCCACAGCGGTAAAAGAGGAAGTGAAAAAGAAGAAGAAAGAAAACAATGAAAATATACTTTTATATATGACAGTTAAATATACTTTCATATATGTCAATTATCCCCATCAGCATCATTATAATCAATAGGTTAGTTGCGTATCCTTTACAGGACGTTGTAGAACCAACCCTAACAGCCCCTGGCTGTTGCGTGGTTTTTCTAGTCAAATTTACTTCCAGTAGTTTGCCATTGCCTCTGGACGGTCGGCTTTCTTGATACCACTGTCGAAACCAACGCAAGGCGCATGGCCTGCATCTGGGATCGAACCTGGCATCCCGGCATTACGAAGCGTTCGCATCGACTTAGCCACAGAGCCGACTTATAATCAATACAAATTCAAATTTCTGCCTTTATTCATAGACTACACTTATTTATCAAATATCCTTGTTGGCACCTTTCCGTGTTCTCAGAAAAATGTGTTACATTGTTGTGTAGGTAGATATGGGAACCACAGTCCCTGATGAAGGGAAAGACCAGGATTGTTCCTCCTCTCCATAGCACAAATCCTGGGCTGTATTGTAGAGACAACGTGTTGCCCAAGGCAGCATGGCCCCTCTCTCATACTGCCTTGTTTATGCCAAAGGAAAGGTAACAACAATACGCATGAAACAAAGCACGCTGCAAGAGCGGCCGGATCAGAAGAGCAGTGTTTTGTCTTTCCGCCTGTCGGAGCTTCCCTCCTTGACCAGCTGCAAAACCAAGACTAACGGTCTGGCCTGTCATGATATTACATTCATTTTCAGGTTGCATTTCAACTTCCCACACGTCAATGTGTTGGGAAATGAACAGGCGGACAGACTGGCTGGCTATGCACAACTTGGTGGAATACTGATACATGATAAGGCAGACGTGGTTAGTGCCTTGTGGGAGAGCGTGTACAGTTGGGAGGAGCAGATGGATCAGGACGTTTAATCAGAATGCTACTGGCACCGTTAGTATCGGAACTCTGCATTGGCTGTTAAAGATGGAGACGGAGCGCTTATGGGAATGCCCCAAGCGCTGTGATGTCAATTCTCGAATCAGCCCAACTCTTTCTAAATCATCTCTAATGCACTCCCCCATCCGAAACTATAGGTGTAGTGTGGGTTGTCCGGATAGTAAATATCACGGACACTAATAAATTGTATAACTATCATATTCTTGTACAATGATAAGAAAAGTGGGTGGGGTGGGGATGGATTTAAAGAGTTTGCATTACACTGATTTAAGTAATAAAGAGTTGCGCAGTTCTTGATTATGTCGGCCTTGATCCAGTGATAGGTCAATGTCGAGACTGCTAGAGATGGATTAGATGCAGTAGATGAGCAAGTGTTCTTGAGTGTCCGGCTTTGCTCGAAGCTCTACACAGAGCGCGATGATCATTTCCATTTTTTTTCGTAATTGAACCATAAGATGTTTCATCCGCGCACTCCAGCGAGATACTGAAGCTACAAACCTGAACTGTTTGACAATCCTAACATGTGGACACCAGCTTCCCCATCACTGATGTAGGTCCGTCCATGGGCACGCGTGCAGGATGACCTTAAAGATAGCACCGACCCTTCGGTATCAGGTCTGTGGCACAGCTGATGGTCAGCAAGCTGGAGATGTGATAGTACAGAGAGCCAGTTATCTGTGTGAAATGTCAAAGGGTCTCTAATAGAAACTTAAACAGGGGCTTCCAGAGAGATGAACTAAAATCAGTGCCAGAAAGTATCAACTCTTCTAGTCCCTAGTAACGCGTGGCGCGTGATGGTTTCTTAGGATATGCCCGCATGAATCCAACATTGCATTGTGTGTTTGTTCACGTTTGGCTACAGCATACGAAAACATCTGGTCACTTCCACTGGAAAGTTAGTCTATGTCAAACTAATGCACTCATTGTTTTATACTGGTTATTTCCCGTCCCCCATTGAGCATCTCCTGCCAAGCCATCTGGTACTGAATGTTACAAGAGAGGTAAAGAATTAGAAACCTGGAGTACAGTTTAAGGAGACGAAGCATTATTACAAACGTTTGAGAATGGGGTTTTAGGATGAATCTTTGGACCCGTTTAGGCATCAAGAAAATAATTCATAACCTGTTTAAATCACCAGAAAATACTTACATCTTGGGTGGGATCTAGCAGACTGCAATGATTGGGGGATAACAAGATAATGATAGACAAGTAAAGTAAAGGGCCATTTTCCCCGCCTTAAGGTTTATTGGGCATATAAGGCTAGACTTACATTTTACAGACCAATCGGCACTTGGTGGGTGATGTGGTCAACATCACGCCGGCTACCTTTACTTCTCAACACTGTACCAGGTACCCATTCAACCCTGGGTCAGTCTGGGAGCTGAAGTCATTTTTTTGAGAAGGAAACGAAGGCCCGGCTTCATATTGACCCAAACCCACGAACTTTGGATCGGCAGCGAGAGTCTAGCCGCCATACCAGGACGGCTCTGAGAATGACAGACAACCGAAAGTTCAAAAACGGTTTCCGCAAACGTTTCCTTTCTGACTTCTGATTTCTTATTGCAGTTTTCTTTCGAACACGATCAGGCTGACTTACTTGCTAAAAGACTAGCTCGTTTGCCACGAGACTAAATGATCCTTACCTTCTCTCGACAGAACCAAGAAACAGTTCATCTGCAAGTTCTGTTCCCGGGAGTTTACCAAGTCCTATAACCTGCTGATTCACGAGAGAACGCACACGGACGAGCGGCCGTTCTCCTGTGAGTGCTGTGGCAAGGCGTTCAGGAGACAGGATCACCTCAGAGACCACAGGTAGTCATGGCATACATACTACAGTGTCTTATTTTAGCGTATATACAGCAGTACTCTATTTCAGCGTATCTACAACAGTACCCTATCTCAGCACATATACAACAGAGCCTTATTTCAGCAATATGAGCAACAGTACTTTATTTCAGATTATATACAACAGTATCTTTTTTTCAGCTTATATATCTACAGTGTCTTATTTCAACGTATTCACAACAGTACTATATTTCAGCATATATAATACCGTGTCTTATTTCAGCACATATACAGCAGAATCTTGCTTTAGTAAATGTAAAAATATGGGGGTGACTGCAGTCAAGCTAATACAAGGAATTCCAGAGAAATTTGATTAAAAAGCTCAACAAAATGGGGAAGCAGAAAAACGTGCACAAAACAACACAACGTAACGTTTCGGCCGGGCAGCCTTTTTCAGCGAAACACAGAGGCGCGGAAACTAAACCAAGCATGTACAGTGACAGACAATGAAAAAAAGCTGCCCTGCCGAAACGTTATGATGTGTTGTTTTGTGCACGTTTTTCTGCTTCCCCATTTTGTTGAGCTTTTTAGTCAAATTTCTCTGGAATTCCTTTTAATACATGTACTAGACTGCCTTTTATTTAAAAAAAAAAAATAATGAAAAAAAAAATTTGACGTAATAAAGAACTTAGTGAATTTAATATTTATTATTGTTGCGTACCTGAACAAGGTCCTCCCACACTAAAAAATGTCTGACCCTCCAGCACCCCATATTTTGTTTGTGTTAGTTCCCCTGTCTAGCATCATGCACCCAGTACGCCTCAAAATGAGAGGTGGCTCCCTTGCCTCAATTACACTAAACCCATTAACATGAACTTGCTTAAGACGAACACTCTTTTAAAACAAATTCACTCAAGACAAACACTTGGTTAGCATAAAGTCGCTTAAGACGAACACTTGGTAAACATTAATTTACTTAAGATGAACACTCTACTAACATGAAGTCGCTTAAGACGAATACTTGATTAACATAAATTTACTTAAGACGCACACTCTGTTAACAAGAAAAAACTTTTGATTCCATGAGGATGAATGATTCATGATACATCTATTATTCTCCCGGTTAACAGAAATCTTTAAAAAAAAATAACTCTTGATTTTAATTTGGTTGCTGGGAATTCGTATTAACGATGTTTTATTGATTATAAATGCAATCAATGCAACATGTAGTGCTTCTGTTATCTGACATATGGCGTTGTTTCATCCCCCAGGTACATCCACAGTAAGGAGAAGCCCTACAGGTGTGCAGAGTGTGGGAAAGGCTTCTGTCAGGCTCGAACCCTTACAGTTCACAAAGCCATGCATTTACAGGTAAACAATTATTCGTAATCAGGTTTTACTTTTAAAAAACCAAACATGACAGCATTTGTTGCTGAATTCACACATTGTGATTTTTGTTCTACCCAAACATCATATTTGTTCAGCCAAAACATCAGGTAAATGTTTTCCCAAACATCATGGTGTAAATGTTCTACCCAAACATTAGGTTCATGTTCTACCCAAACATCATGTAAATGTTCTACCCAAACATCAGGTAAATGTTTACCCAAACATCATGGTGTAAATGTTCTACCCAAACATTAGGTACATGTTCTACATTAACATCAGGTAAATGTTTACCCAAACATCAGGTAAATGTTCTACCCAAACATCAGGTACATGTTCTACCCAAACATCATGTACATGTTCTACCCAAACATCATGTACATGTTCTACCCAAACATCATGTACATGTTCTACCCAAACATCATGTACATGTTCTACCCAAACATCATGTACATGTTCTACCCAAACAGCATGTACATGTTCTACCCAAACATCATGTAAATGTTTTACCCAAACATCAGGTACATGTTCTACCCTAAACATTATGGTACATGTTCTACCTAAACATCATGGTATAAATGTTCTACCCAAACATCACGGTTCGTTATCTACGTAAACATAATTTTATTTGTTCTACCCAAACGTCCTTTATTTGTTATATCCAAACATCATTTTTATTTGTTCTTGTCTTGTTGAGTTTAGATGTCTCTAATCATCTGTTTTTTTTTTCTGTCACTTCCAGCAATCGTCGGCTCCAAAAGTTGGACAGAGAAGACATCGTCTCAAACAACTGCCCGTCCTAGCTTCAGTCGTGTCATCTTCAACCCTACCGTCAAATCAGTTATAATTACTGTCATCATCATTATCAGCAGCGGCAGCAGCAACAGTAACAACAACAACAACAGCAACATCAGATTGATTAGCATCACTGTTGTCCACATCAACGATTATGTCATCAACAACTCTGTCATAAAAACAAGTCATAATAATTGTAATAATACTCAAAGCCATCATTATCATCCTCAGTGTAATCCTTAAACAACAGCCGGTTCCAGCTCCAATCGTGTCATCTACGACTGTGTCGCTACACAGGTCATAATTACCACCATCTTCACTGTCGTAATCATCATCATCATCATCAGCAGCAGCACCAGCACCAGCAACAGCAACATTAGACTGATCAGCTTCACTGTTGTCTACATCAACTATTATATCATCGACATCTGTCATAAAACAAGTCATGATAATTGTAATAATTCTCGAAGCCATCATCATTTTTGTCATTCTCATCATCAACACCGTCATTAGAGTCCACATCCTCATCATACATCATCATCATCATCATCATCATCACCATCATCGTCATCATTACCACGGTTAGCCACATCGAGATTATGTAAGTTAACGCAGTTAGAGAGAATAGCCCAATAGCTCAGAAAGTACTATCATACACACGCCGTCAAAACAGCGATACAAGAACAAATATATTTTATCTTATGGTGCCTTATCCCTGTTTTAGATAATATATGTCATGTGGTGCAACCTCCATACTATGTTGGGGTGCTTTATTAATATCTTACCCCAAACAGGGGAAATCCACAGGTCACGGGACAGTCTAATATTTCAGGGGGTGAGAGACCTAGGCTGCACTCTCTCGTGGGAAGTAGTGGGTTGAGGTTAGGGCCCGTTCTAGATGTTCTTGGGTCGTCAAAAGCATCAGAAAGCCGGGAAACCCCTTTAAAATGTTGGAATGTCCTGTGACGTCTTCTGAGGTAGGATAATCATAAAGCACCTATGTTGATTACAGTGTATTACCATACACTGTGTTTTTTTTTTATTGTTTGCAACATTGTTTTACAGCTGTTGAATGTTATGTTTACCCTGTGTGGGTTCCGGGGTCCCATTGTGGTGGGAAAACAAGAACAGACCAACTGCCTGCCCTAAACAAGCATGTCGTAAGAGCCGACTAATTTGGGATCATCGTTCAGAGTCAGAGTACATCTTCATGAGATGCAAGCAAACACGAGTTTGCATACAAATATGTGAAACGGATGTTCACAAAACATCCAGGTTCTGCAACAGGACTAAAGTCCGGAGGTGGACGAACAACCACAGCTTCCCTTTGGAGTTTACAGTGGGTGAGCGTAAAGAAGTACAAGAAAAATACTGTATTTTATGGTTGATTACTTCGTTTAACTGATGTATTTTCTGCTGAATACTGTGTGCTATTGAGACAAATGTGTTTTACTATTGCATAGCGTGTTTTCTGTTGGTTACTGTGTTTTACAGTTGGTTTTGACATCTGTTTTACTTTTCAATACTGTGTCTACTGTTTAATACGTCGTTGACTGGGGATTACCAGTAAATATTATGTTTTACTGTTGATTACTGCGTTTCACATTTGACTAGTATGTGTTACTACTCATTGACTATTATGTTTTACTATTGACTGGTATTTTTTGTTTACTATTGACTAGTTTGTTTTACTGTTAATTACTGAGATTTACTATTGACTGCTGTGTTTTACTTTGACTACAATGCTTTACTATTGACTGGGATGTTTTACTGTTCATGACTATGTTTCGATATTATGCAAATGTTCAATGATTGTGTTTGATTACAGAGAAATGTACATACTTTTGACCAACTTGTTTTGCCTTCAGTAAAGATTTGATATTTTACTACTCGAATTTCGTCACAGATATTCATTCAAAACTCTCTCTCTCTCTCTCTCTCTCTCTCTCTCTCTCTCTCTCTCTCTCTCTCTCTCTGTCTCTCTCTCTCTCTCTCTCTCTCTCTCTCTCTCTCTCTCTCTCTCTCTCTCTCTCTCTCTCTCTCTCTCTCTGTGTGTGTGTTTGGTTTAGCAAAAACAGTCCCACATCTGTGATATCTCATACATTTAGCAGAATAATCGCACAGCTGTTCTTTCCCTCTCTCCTATCCGCTCTGTTTCCAAACCTCCCGTTATGTCTTCCCTCCCACCTTCCTTTAGTTTCCCTTAACTCTCTTTCTTGCACTCTCTCTCTCTCTCCTTCTATTCTTATTTATTCTTTCATTTCTTCTCCTCTTCACCACTCTGTCTTATTCTCTTCTCTTTTTTCTTCATCTCTACCCCTTTTAATCACAATGTCCTATTTTCATCTCTCTCTCTCTCTCTCTCTCTCTCTCTCTCTCTCTCTCTCTCTCTCTCTCTCTCTCTCTCTCTCTCTCTCTCTGTGTCTTTGTATACAATCCTTTTCTCACACTGTTTACCGTCTCGATATTTTCTCTCTCCCTTTCTTTATCTCTACCCAGCTTTCTGTCAAACTCTCTTACTGCTCCATTCTCTAGCCTCTCTCTTTCTTTATCTCTGCTCATCTTTCTCTATCTTTATTTCTACCCATTTTTCTCTCATGCAGTCTAACTCTCTTGAATATCCTTGCACTGAAACCCACAGGGTCAAACGAAAAGGCAGACCAAAAACACACGGAAAAGAGAAATAGGTAGAAAATGACGAAAAAGATAGGAAAGACATGAGGTGAGCTGCCAACGATGACATCAGGCAGGTCAAACACACCAGCTGGTCCAAGTCCTGTGTTTCTTTGGACGACTAATTTGACAGATTGTTGCCCTCGAAGTCAGAGCGCATCTACCTGAGAGGCGAGGAAACCAACAGTCTGTCTACAAACAAGCAAGATCTGTAAAACGAATCATCATCACCACCATAAAGCACTTCTGCCATTAAGCATTGTTGGGATCAATAATTTGCGACCCAGTGCAGGCTGGTTGGCACCGGTTATTGTCATGCCCTGAAGTCGTAGAGTGTCTTTGATGTTGTCGATCCATGTTTTCTTGCTCTTGTAGACGATCTTCTGAAATGTAGTGCCTGTGATGGTATTTGATCTTGCTGCATTCTAACGAGATGGCCAAACCACTTTATCTGCTGTTTTTCGATAAATCTCGTACTAGTACAAGGTGTCGCTCCCACAATCTATTTGATAGTATTATTGTTCCCTTGATCTCGGAAGATTAGGTTTGCTGCTTTTCTCAGGCATCTTACCTCGCAGGTGGTGATTTTGCTAAATGGGCTATAGACAATGTCCATGTTTGGACCTTTTAGGCCAATAACTGACATCTTAAAAGATCTGAACATCAAGGAAGATTGGCTAATAAACAGCACCCTGTCTCGGAAGTTGAAATATTTTGGTCATATTTAGCGCCACGACGGATTGGAAAACATTATAGCAGAAGGCATAGTACCAGAAAGGAAGCGAAGGGGTCGACCGTCACGAAGATGGGCACAGGATATAAGTGACTCCTTGAGTATGAAAAGTACATGAGGCGGGAGAACTGGCGAGAGACAGAGTTTCTTTCAGGCAGACATCTTTCAGATGAGAGCCACGTTCTGCAAAGGACCTGCTACATGATGATGATGATGATCTTCTTCTTCTTCTTCTTTCTGATTTACACAGACAGGTTCTTGTGATAAACTTGACTGTTTTAATGAGTTCATTTTTAGTCCCATACAACTTTGTGTACAGTGGTGACTCACTGGGCCAGTATTCCTTTCTTAATGGGTTGAACAAGGGTCAGTCTTGCAGGACATGTTCTGTAGTCTGCACACATAGCCCACAAGGGCAAAAAGGTGAACTACTTACACGAAGCATGATGATGATGAGGTCAATAATCTAAGTCTAGAACAAGATCAAAGTTCAGAAGTGGATGAACAACCAGAACTTTCCTCTGGAGTTTTCAGTCGGTGAATGCTAATGAGAAGCTGACGATTTATATCCAAGAATAATTAAATTCAACATTATTTCGATTAGACTGAGTTAAGGAAACAACAGCTTTGGTTTCAAAGAGTTAATTAGCACCAGGCAAAGGAGAGCGATGCCTTGATGAAGGTAGGTCCCTCACAACCAAAGGTGACAGATTTACGACTGATTTCTCTGGCTAGAGATGTGTTTAGACAAGCTAGGAGAAATCACCTCATGGAAAGAGATACTGTGTCCCCCAAGCTGCATCCGCCCTTGAAGGCAAGTTGCAACAACAGATTATACGAGGGTTAAAATAATAGACCCGGGGAGTTCATGAGGACATAATGAGCAGGGGCGTGCCTTGGTAGGAACATGATGGAGGCTACGATCTGCATGTGTATGTTAGAGGCTGTGTGTTTTAGGTATGGGGTAGTAGTAGTAGCAGCAGCAGCAGCAACAGTAGTAGTAGTAGTAGTAGTAGTAGTAGTAGTAGTAGTAGTAGTAGTAGTAGTAGTAGTAGTAGTAGTAGTAGTAGTATGGCAATCTCCTGTTAACTGCAATTAGAAAATACCTTAAAGAAGTTAAGTGTAGAATAACTCGAGCAAAGGCAAATATTCTACCCAATCCTTCTGTTGAAATTGAATGGAATAGACGTTCTTACAAGAGAGAGATATATATAATACTAATCCTGGTCTGTGGAAGTAAATCATGTACAGTTAACCATTTAGTAAAACGTAATGTGGAAGCGGTAGAGATGTGTTTTATAGACTAATAATGAGAATACCCTGGACAGATACTAAGAGGAATGGAGATGTCTCGCAATAAACTGAGTCACGAAGAGAACTGGTTGCCCACATCAGAACTAGCCAGTCTACATTCATTAGTCTCGTCGTGAGAAGGAGAAGATTGGAGTACATCGTGACGTTGTGAAAGTTGGAGGGGGGAAAGAGGTAGAGGGCGACAGAGAGGCAGTTTGCACATGATGGATTTTCTGTTTCAGAAATGACTGAAAGTACACGAGACAGAAGGTTGAGAATAGACATGACTACCAACACCACGCGGAATAGACTGTAATGAGAATTGGAACAAGACTAGTAGTATTAGTAGTAGC